AGCAACCCTGCAGAGTCTTGCTGCTGTAATTCTGAACTGCAAATTCCAGAGATCTCAGAGGCAGCAGGAAGAGGATGTGAATATACCACCAGAGACCTGTGCTCTAGCACTCCCCAGCTTCCAGTCTGAGCCACTGCAAGCATGTAGCTGCATTTTCTGAATCAAAGGTAAATGTCTATTCACTTCTGATTCAATTTAATCTGTGTAGTTTAGACTAACCTGCAAAGACTGAATGGATTCAACCTCAAGCTTCTTGACTGTTTGTACTTAGCCAAAGTGAAGATGAAGACATTTTGCAAAAGTGGACAGGCAAGTGTTTGTCAGGGACTTAAGAAGAGTGATTAAGAAAGCAATTAGGTATTTGACAGATGGAACAGGCCCTTGGTCTTTTAAAAAAGTAAGTTGGCCATTTTCCCTTCACTTAAAAAAAATCCCAATTATCAAAATGGCAAGAGGAGAAATGATTGGGGTTGGGGGCGGGGGGATGGAAAACAAAGACTAAATTCTAGTTTGAGAGGCTCATCATTCAAAAGAGTTCTTTTCCAAGGATCTTGCCTATAGTGGTGAACTATTCAAGAATATTAAAATTGGAGGCAGGTCTCTGTTTTAATGGATCAGAAAACTAAAGCTCTCAATTAAAATTGTATCTGCAATACTGATTAGTGACAGCTAGGAGGTCAGTGTCTGTATAGACTTACTCTGATTAGCAGCATTATCTGTGCCGTGAATATTGAACAAACAGTTTTACTTAAGAGAAAAAAACCTAGGGTTACACAGGATATAATTATCAAGAACATATTTATAGAGGTTTGTAATCTTTTCCTAGAATATTTTATGTATTCCGCACTTTTCCACTATTCTGACATGCTAGCATCATCTATGAACTTTGGAGACCACTGCTATAGGCATGAACTTGTATTTGTGCCCGACTGAAAGTACAGGAACCTTAGTGGCAGAAAGCTCCTTGACACCATGATGCCACCTTAATTTTTTATGTATTAATCCAGAGGGAAGAGTGCCACTTACTGAAACACCAGTGCAACTTGTTTGCAGGCCTCCAGCTCAAAAGCTGAGCAAGCCTGTCATTGCTTAGCTTGAAAGTGATGTGGCTACAGATGAGGCTCCAGTTCAGGCTAACCATTAAGCACATAAACAGGACTTATGATGTGATAAATTTACAGGACAGTTCGATATTTTAGGACCATTTTTAAGAAACATGCTGAAATCATCACTTCCTTCCTTTCTTAGCAAAAATTCCAAGCAAAGATGTCCCTATGTATGATTTATAAGAATTGCCAGTAGGTATTAAACATGCACACTATCCATGTCACAGACAACAGGGATCAATTTGCTGCCTGTATAGTGCTGCAGATAGGAAATGAAAAAAAAAATGGCCAAAGAGCACTTGTTTTATATTAACAAGCAGCAGATAACAGAGAAGTGTGATAGCATTTGACCTACAACTTAGAAAATGGTCTGTGTTAACATTCAGATTTACAGCTCACAGATGGTCTACATCAACAGTAAAATGCTCACTGGAAAACTGCAGCTAACAACTCTGAATGCTTTGCATTGTCAGAGATTTGCTTTTTATTTGGTGCAAATCTCTCCACTAGGAATGGGGCGATATATTGAAGGAAACACATTTATTGAACCAGAACTTTTAAAAGATGTTATGCTCTGTGAAGTTCCCTTTTCCCTAGTGGAGAATGTCATCTCTTTAGAATGGTGTATTTTAACTGTCAGTGCTGCAAAATCCCTTTCCATTAAAAAAAAGAAAATAAAATTGTGGTCTAATTGCATTAAGTGGTGCTGTTGCCATTAATATAAACAAATACTTAATTATCTGGGCCCAACATAGACATAGGATGGTCATGTACCACAACTCAGGTTTTTTAAAGATATGTTTAGGCTTTAAGGCATAAGTGACTAAAGAACCAAAATCCTATTTTTTAAAGTAATCAAGGTCATTTGGCTCCTATGTCTCACTGATTTTTTCCCCCACCCCCTCATTAGGTAGGAAAGCACTTTAGGGTACATCTATACTATTTATACAGTGCTTCTAGCAGTGTATCTTTTGGGCCTGCCTAGATCATCCACTCATCTACTTCTATACACAGGAGCCACAAATCTTGGGGGTCACCCTTCAAGTGGCTGCGTCACCTCATTTCTAGGTTTGGCAGGTATGGGCACAACATGAGAGTGCTGCAGAAATAGTATGAACAGACCCTGAGTCACTGAGTTCTTGCTATGCTCAAATGCCTTCAAATGTCTGGGCCTGTCTGATTAAAAGCTGTGAAGGAATTTCTCATCTGTACATACTTGAAGCAGCCACAGCTGTGCAATGGTTTTTACCAGAAGCCAGGGTATAGGAAGTCATATGGACCTTCTTTATGATAAAACTCATTCCTTATGCTGAGGGCTGGCACAAATACAGTCTCCACTTGAGTCCTCAAATTGAAAACCAGTGGGATTTCTATGGCACATATAACTTGTCCCAGTCATCTGCCCAGGAGCATGTTTTGTCCTGGATGAGTAGCTTGGTATAGGTAAGAGCTGTGTGAAAGACATTTTGGGTGAAAACCAGGAAAAAGAAAAGAAAAACAGCAGAGCCTGATCTGTAAATATTTGTGGATTTGAGGGCATTTATAACAGTGCAAAATACTATCTGGATATTTGTGTTAAAGAAATATCATAGGTTTGAATTTTCAAAAGGGAGATGGTGACTACAAAAGAGAATTTTAGGATCTACTGAATTAAAGTACCTGGGTACAGACAATAAAGTTTTGAGTTTTATTCTTTTCTCAGGAGCTAAATAGTCTTAAAGGTTCACACTTTGCGTATGTGTGCTATCTCTGTTGTACAATACTTAGAGAGAAACTGAGAGAGAAAAGTAAAGTGTCCTGACTTGAAGTCAACCAGTAGAGGGATGTTTCTATGAAAGATGTTTCTGATACTTGCTTTCTGGATAATCTTGGGCAATTTTCTGAGCACTGGATTCTCCATTTGTACCAGGCAATAAATCTCTGTTATATACCTATTATAATTACATGACTACAGTCAAGCAGGTGGAAATTCAATGTTATAGTTGTCTTCCTTTATCTATAAATGCTACAATCACAGTAGAAATTTGTTGGACCCTAAGAAATGAATGGGGTCCTATGATGTGAGATGTGGTAGGCAAGACTGTTAGCAAGATTGATATGGAACAGTAAAACCTACCAGTTGAACTCCTGACCCCATGTGTTATAGAAGAGAAATGAAACTACAGGTTTCCCTCATTTTATGCTGTACACGTGCTCCCGGAAAACAGCAGGTAACTCAAATTCACATAAAGGGAACCCACTTTACAATGTAACAAATAGAGATACATTCCAAGACCTTGACTGTACTGACCCCCAGACCCATTTCTACCACTTTTACAGGACAATTTTGGTACTCACCAACAGCAGACAGTACACACAAGCACAGGGCACTATCATAATGGGGATGGCAACTACAGAAACACGTGTCACCGACAATGAATGACAAGTACAGATCCACACAGGAGACTATATTTTAGTGCACATCACTCTCACAATGCACCGCACAAAGCAGCTGACTGTGGGCTTCCACCACACCAATCACATAAGAATGAATTTATCTCGCATATAACGAATTTTTGGTATAAAAAGGGTCATCGAATAGGAGTGAATTTGCACATACCGAGCCTTCACAAAGGGAAATCTGTTTCTATTGGGAGTCTATACAAGACATTTACTGCAGAGCTGCCTAATTAACTCCCTAGTA